ATTTTTTTAGTGTTTAGTGATTAGGGTGATAGAGTTTAAAGTTTAGGGTTTAGGGTTTAGGGTTAGGGTACAAATAATAGATATTAGTTTGTGCGTTGTGGATACTTGTTTTGGCTAGTTGTAATACTTGTTTCTGATACACAGATAGTAGATATTAGTTTGTGTGTTGTGGATACTTGTCTTTCCTAGTGGTAATAATTGTTTCTGACATATTGATATTTATTCAAAATATTGTGATTTTTTTCCGGGTTGTGTGGATATTTATTTGAAACTGATGAAATATTCTCTTAGTTCATGTGTTTGGATATTTGTGTGGAACCTTTGAATATTCTCAGCTTGGAAAAACAATAATAGTTTTATTTTTTTAGTGTTTTATTGATTAGGGTGATAGAGTTTAAAGTTTAGGGTTTAGGTTTTAGGGTTAGGGTACAAATATTAGATATTAGTTTGTGTGTTGTGGATACTTGTGTTTTCTAGTTGTAATACTTGTTTCTGACATACTGATATTTATTCAAAATATTTTGATTTGTTTCCGGGTTGTGTGGATATTTATTTGAGCCCGATGAAATATTCCCTTAGTTCATGTGTTTGGATATTTTTCTGGAACCTTTGAATATTATCAGCTTGGGAAAACAAAAATATTTTTATTTTTTTATAGTTTAGTGATTAGGGTGATAGAGTTTAAAGTTTAGGGTTAGGGTACAAATAGTGGATATTTGTTTGTGTGTTGTGGATATTTTTTGAAAAGATTTTAATACTTTTTACTAAGGAACTGATAGTTATTTTAAATAATATGTCTGGGTTGTCTGGATATTTGTCTGGGTTGTCTGGATATTTGTCCGGGTTGTCTTGGTATTTGTCTGGGTTGTCTGGATATTTAATTGAATCTGAGCATAATGGTTTCAGATTGTTTTCCCCGTAGTGAAACAACTGAAATGACAGGTACACCACGGATTCAACACAAAATACTCTACCACTAACTTTTTGGTACTGTTTTATCGTTCTTGGTCATACATACAAATCCAAGTTCCCCGTGAAAGTTGAAACCATTGCTTAATTACTAATTACTAGGATGAGTTCGTACTACATCACACATGCAAATCCAAATGAAATTCACAACTTCTGGAATAGCAGGCTGCCTTGTTTTTTCTCCTTGACGAGATCTCGATGCAACCATTTTCGTTCTCTTCATCCCGGGTTGTTCCTGAAACACAGTTATATATTAAGCAAAATATCCATAATCCTTGGACAAATAACTAAAACGCACACTTATATACAATACAATTATCGTAGTAAAGCAAAAGTGTATCCAAACGGAGATAACTGATATCCATGAAAAAAATATCCATAATACCCAGAAAAATAACTAAAACGAACATTTAAGTATCCACATTAACCGAACTGATATCCACACATCAGACACATCAGTTTATTTTTTTTGCAAATACATACAATTATTATCGTAGTAAAGCAAAAGTGTATCCAAACGAAGATAACTGATATCCATGAAAAAATATCCATAATACCCAGAAAAATAACTAAAACGAACATTTAAGTATCCATATTAACCGAACTGATATCCACACATCAGACACATCAGTTTATTTTTTTTGCAAATACATACAATTATTATCGTAGTAAAGCAAAAGTGTATCCAAACGGAAATAACTGATATCCATGAAAAAATATACATAATACCCAGAAAAATAACTAAAACGAACATTTAAGTATCCACATTAACCGAACTGATATCCACACATCAGACACATCAGTTTATTTTTTTTTTGCAAATACATACAATTATTATCGTAGTAAAGCAAAAGTGTATCCAAACGGAGATAACTGATATCCATGAAAAAATATCCATAATACCCAGAAAAATAACTAAAACGAACAGATAGGTATCCACATTAACAGAAGTGATATCCACACATCAAACACATCAGTTTATTTTTTTTAGCCAATATAACTAATCGAGAAACGAAGTGAGAAAATAGCTAATATCATTGAACTAATATCCATCATGGCATAAAAATATCCAGACCTAGCATACAAATATCTATGCATCACATAACCAATATCCGAACAATCAACCACCAAACAATATCCACATTAAACTAAATGGTATCCCATGCCAGCTAAACAATTTTCCAGCTAAAAAAATATCAAATTAACGAGCAAAATCCAGAAACCCCAAACAATATCGACATAAAAAAACGAATCCCCCAAATTAAAAGAAATCCAAATCGAAAGAAATCCAAATCTCCAAATCAAAAGAATCCCAGATCCCCCAAATCGAATCTCAAATCCCCCAACAAGAAATCACAGATCCCCCAAATCGAAAGAAATCCAAATCCCCAAATCAAAAGAATCCAAGATCCCCCAAATCGAATCTCAAATCCCCCAACAAGAATCCCAGATCCCTAACAATGAATCTCAGATCCAAAAAACGAAGCAAAAAAAAAAAAACTCAGATCCAGTCGAATCTATGAAACCCTAAATCAAATATATGTAATCCAGCCACAGAAAATCCCAGATCCCCCAAATCGAAAGAAATCCAAATCCCCAAATCAAAAGAATCCCAGATCCCCCAAATCGAATCTCAAATCCCCCAACAAGAATCCCAGATCCCTAATAATGAATCTCAGATCCAAAAAGCGAAGCAAAAAAAAAAAAACTCAGATCCAGTTGAATCTATGAAACCCTAAATCAAATATATGTAATCCAGCCACAAAAAATCCCAGATCCCCCAAATCGAATCTCAAATCCCCCGACAAGAATCCCATATTCCTAACAATGAATCTCAGATCCAGTCGAATCTAAACGAAGCAAAAAAAAAAAAAAAAACTCAGATCCAGTCGAATCTATGAAACCCTAAATCAAATATATGTAATCCAGCCACAGAAAATCCCAGATCCCCCAAATCGAAAGAAATCCAAATCCCCCAAATCAAAAGAATCCCAGATCCCCCAAATCGAATCTCAAATCCCCCGACAAGAATCCCAGATCCCTAACAATGAATCTCAGATCCAAAACACCTACATCAAAGGAAGATGCTTACCTCAAAAAATTTCTTCTCTTCGCAGCTGGTGTAGTCGTCTTACTCGCGCTACTAGCGTCGATGTCTTCCTTCTTGCTCGGCCGACTTCGTCTTTCTTCAAGCACCGCTACCGGCGTTGCCAAGCACCGCTACCGGCGTTGCCAAGCACCGCCGTCTTCTTCCTGCCCGTATCCCTCGTCGCCGGCGTCGTGTTTCTCACACCTGTCGTTGTCGAGAGGTATTTTGAATTATTTGGGAGAGAGAGAGGAAGAAGAAGAAGAACAGAAGAGAGCAGTTTTGGAGAGTGGGAGAGAAAGGAAAATGAAATGATGGAGAGAGAAAAGAAAATGAAACATAAATGAAAAGGTTGTTTTTTTTGAATTGTAAAAAAAAAAAAAGGAAGAGGCTTGGTTCAGCCGAGCCACAAGCTGCTCTTCTTCCCCTCCACCGTCCGATCGCGGCTCGCCTACGTGGCTTCTCATCTCACCGTGTTAGTATATGCTAACTACTAACACAGTTAGCAGAATAACGCTATTGAGGGGATCAGGGGATTAAGCTTTTCACTTTTGGTTTCAGGGAAGAGAAATCTTATTGCCGAAGATTGATTGAATCAGTCACTTTGTGAAGGATTTCAATACAAAATAGGTTCAACCAAACATTAGTAGGTTCAACCTGCTGTGGTTAAGTGGTGGTTAATAATCAATGGTGCTCATTAAAGACACTAAAATCCAACGGTTAAAAAGCAGGCGGCACTAGTGCCGTGCCTGCACCACAGAATTCGCCGTATGGTTGAGGAGTTTGGCTGGCATTTAGTGTTTCAGGGCTTACTTTAGGGTTAGAGTTTAGAGCTAGGATCTAAAATTTAGTCGTTAGGATTTAGGGTGAGAATTTTATTTATGGTTGTGGATGTAGGGTTTGGATTTCAATTATGGTTTTTTATTTCACTTGGCTTAATCCCAACAAGGAATATCTTGCTCACAATACTTAATTACCTTGTTTGTGTCATTCTGTATGAACTAAGAGATCACCCGAAATGAACTACGAGATCACCTGAAAGACACATTTGATATTTAGAGATCGCGAACCAATCATAAATTAAACAACAACTAATTATGGCTCTTGGCCCAGACAACGTCCTAAACGTAGGGGGGGCATCGAAGCATGAGGCTAGAAAGAGAAAGGTCAACTATTCTACATACAATGCTTCTCCAAAATAGAAGCATTTTTGTTGGTGTATTAAAGACCAGACGATAACGTTTACAATACTTCAATTTTCTTCGTAGATGCTACATAGTTGGTGTTATAATTGCGTTGCTACAGATCAAAAAATCGTCGAAATCGAGAAAGCAAGAATAGGAAAGCGAGAATCGAAAACAGACACACAATTTACGTGGTTCGCTAACATAATGTGTTAGCTAGTCCACGGCAGGAGAGAGCCAATTTCACTATATCGAGGAGATTATAGATTACAGAGGAGATGGAAATATTTATACTTCTCCATGTGGGTCTAAACCTAATCTAATCTGGTAAAGGAAACGGTTACAGACCAGGCCCAAAACTGACAACCCAAACGTGTATCAACCATACACGGTGACTTCCAGTCGTAGCGACTGATTGTCCGATTCAAGTCACATCAAGAGTTGGTTTAATGCAAAGGGACAGAGGTTCCCACTAATCAGTGTGTGACTGTTGGCAGAGCAAAGGGACAGAGGTAGCTGTGCTTCCCCCGCCAGCCTATATCTGTCACTCTCATTTTCTCTCGAGCTTGGGAGATGCTGGTCCTCTCTTGCCCAATGGCTTCTATAGTCTATTTGTCAATGGCTTCCGCTGTCGTCCCCACTTCGGTGACCTTGACAGCCAATTTTTCGCTCACAAGGCAGTTATATTTTTTGCCAATCCTGTCTTTTGCCAACTTTTCAATTCGAGAAGAAATGGAAGAACTGGAACAGTTAAGGTGTGAGGGGGACTGTTAAAAGTTGTTCAATTTGGCCGTCAACAGAATTTTCCAGTTTGATGCCCTCCAAAACAAGGCACAGCATCAGCAATCTAAGGTAACATTAGTAATGAGGCAAAGAAGAAAGGGAAAGGAGTTGCAAGTCCAGAATGATACGCGGATCCTTCTACTACATGAAGAAGAAAACGAATAGGGGGAGAATACAACTTTCCCTTCTACCCCCATTGACGAAAACCTTTTGATAAAAGGAAAAAGGACGACGACGAGGAACAGCAGCAGCAACAAGACGAACTTAACAGAGAAAATTCCAAAGCTTTTCTACTAACTTGACACAACAACACCCTCCATCATGTCAACGCCAAACTAAATGCAAAACGGTGGTACTATCACGCACACGATGACCGCAAAGTATCAGGGAACATCAGACTTCCTTTTCGTCTCTTCTTTCCGACTTTAAAGTCCTGGGGTTTCCAGAGTTAGGGGCTTACATCCACATCGAGCCTTCTAAATGCCCAGCATTTGCTTAAAGAATCACGTTTCGCGTCACCAAAATCACATCTTCTTGCTGCTGTGTTCATCTTCGTCGCTCTTCAATGCCTTCAACTTTCTGTAACCTTTGTCGGTGCCAAATATCCTGATAGCCAAAGACAAGCAAAATGTAGCGTTACTTGACTGATAGCGGCTTATTAGAAAAAGGAAAAAACGTAACTCTGAAGATGAGCATATTCAAGATATTCAGAACCACATAGCTTAACCTGTGGTATCATAAAGCATAATCATGCAGCTACACTGCTAACTAATGGCCTGCTATAACAGTATAACAAGGAAATGTGGCACTCATGTTCTCAGAATTGCTCGTGTTCGAAACTCCTAGGGACAACCCATGAGCATGTGGCTGCAAGTAATATCTGGTGATTGGTTACTTCTTTAGGTGGTCTAGCGGACATGGAAAGCCACAGACAGACTCACCCATTTATTACGCACATCCTAGTCAGAATATATGCACTCAGTTAGCTGTACATAGTTCAGAGACCAGGTGGGACTAATGTCTTCGTTTGTCTATTCTTGGGACTTTTGAACTCGCTAGGAAGTTCCCAGCAGTGAAGAGCAATTGCAATTTCTATTGAACTAGTAACCAAGCTCACTCGAAGAATTGAAGAGGATCCATAAAGGGATTTCTTCATTAGTTCGATAAACACCAATGAAAAATCAAACAGATTCGAATGGCTTGTCACAGGAATCAAATTGTAACCAAATCCGGTGGTTTTCTATACAGGTTACCACATCAAATCCAGAGTGGTTAACAGCCAAACAACAAAGATAGATAGTTGAAAGTTCCAAGGGGTCGAAAAACTCACCAGTCCATGTATGTGAAAGTTGACGAGTAGTTTCCAGATTTAGTATAAAGCAAGCGGTGATGATAATCATGAAAATCAGAACTGGAAATATGTGAAGGAGAAGTTAGAAATCATCGAATACGGACTTGATCAAATATACTACCAGAAAAGAGTAATAACAGTTTAAATATTCCAGATATCAATTGAGAAGGGAAAACTCACCCTCCATATAGAGGAAGAAAATTGGACAGGCTCCATGGAAAATGGTAACCTGAATGCACTTCAACTGTTTCAAGAACCCGAAGCACCATCCATAACCACAGCGTAGATAGATGCGGCCCAGTAATTGCAGGACCAATAATAGTAGCGAATCCAAGGAACAATATCTCAGCAGGGTGAGCATATTCAGATGTCAGACCAAATGGAGTAGCATACCTGCATATATGGTCAATTAGTCATCACCACTAATTTACACAACACCTCGGGATTCCATACGTGGGAACAGAACAAAACCGTCTAGTTCAACTTACTCATGATGGACACTGTGCACATGCTTGTACAACCATTTGGTATGTAAAATTCGATGTCCCCAGTAAAATATAAAATCTTCCAAGATGAAGTAGAAAAGTATCTGAGTTAGAACTACCCTCCTGCAGAATCAAATCAGGAGTTCGTAAGCAGGGTGTGCAAAAAGATGACAATTATACCACACAGAATCAGAGAAGCTTGACCGGAATCATGGAAACGGAATCCAGTATGTGAAATGAAGAAAGTTACAGTTTATATTCGTTCAGTATATAAAGAAGCTGATAGTACCATGAAGGCAATGGAAGGCTGATTTTCATGCCCATATGCTTAAAGACGGGATAGGACACAAGCATAACTGGTAGATTGACACCGAAGTGATACAAAATCAGACGAGTAATACATTTCTCCTGAGCTGCTGGACTGTTGTTTTTAAGCTGCACGGAACCAGATATAAGTGGAAGTGCAATATAAAAAAAACCTCCCCCAAGAAGGAAATTTTACCAAACTACTATTGGAAACATACAGAACAGCCACTAAAAGATGTGATACTGGGGTAACTTTTACAAGATGTAAGCAAGGAAATATCATTGTTTAACAGCAGTGACCGCACAACAGGAAAGTCAATGTAGTACCTGAATCTTGTGTTTGCTAAACCACCCTGCCCTTTCAAGGAATATGTAAGGAAGTCCAGATAAGAAGAAGACGCTCTCATGAATGAAGAAACTCCCTAGACAAGCCAATTGGAACTCGCTGAAATGTGTGATCAAATACTGCATGGAAGCAAAATAAAAGTTATTAAAAGAACCCACAAGGCACTGAAGCAGTCAAACAGCGAAGGAGGCGCTTCAGAACTGTTTTGACCATCTTCCATTGCAGAACAAATGAAAAAGGCCACAAATTTCCTTCCTTCTTTCTTTTCAAGAAAAGACTCCAGAATTCATCTTTTTCCACCAAGATTACATTACATATGGGTGATTATTATGCTGGTATGGGACAACCAAAAATTCATTGAAGAGAAAGAGTAACTCAATGCATTACAACCAAAAAAAAAACCCCTAAAATTGGACTGATTAGCGTGAGAGCAGCTAGAGCAGAAGGAGAACAGAGAGACTGCATTCGTGGGGCAGTAATCTATTTCAGCTTCCCCTCTGACGGAGATCTCCATAAGAAAACAATTACAATTTATAAAAAAAAAATTGGTCGAAACGTCCCCATCACTCATTAAGGTTGGCAGAATTCGGCAAATAAAATATCCATCTTCGCATTAATCGAAATTTCACCACAAGGCGGAAAGTCCCATTAGTCATCTGAAACAATGGCAAAAGATCTGAACGGAAACGCGTGGTTCACATTCGGCAAAGCTTTACGCGGCAAAATACCGGAGACAGAGGAAAAGAAGAGGTGTCTAGAATTAACTCCACCAAGGAATTGAACAGCAGAAATTAGAAGGAGGACAAGCATTGGTGGCAGATCCAGGGGAGAGCAATGATTCAAGGAGGAGGAGGAAGATGAGTTACCTGCCAGCCGGATTCGAGGAGGGAAGCCATGGGAGACGGAGCAGAATGGTGGGTGGGAAGGAGAAGGGGGGAAAGTAGCGTGATCGAGCTTTGTCGCCTTGCCTTTTGCTTCTCTGTCAGGCAGAGAGCGCAGAGTGAGATGGATGGATTGGAGAGAGAGAGGGAGGGAGAGAGAGAGCTATATAAGAGACACCGGGAGAGCCACGCCCACTCGACTCGACAATAGAAGGAATCAAAGACGGACTTGGAATCTGGGCTTTGGGCCCACCTCACTTTCCCTCACTTTACAAATCTTATATTGGAAGGTAAACCGATAGGTAGTATTTAGCGATATGAAATTGGTTGAAATACGATTAAATTAAATTTTAAAATAAAATATTTTACTGTTGATTGTTTCAGTACAAAGTGCGGCATGGTTTTACAATATTTGATTTTACTATCTTATATAATATCAACTAAATTTGGTAAGTTTATATCGCTCCCATAATAGTAAAATACGACACGGATAAGTTAGTATAAAATATGTATGAGTATTTTATTTTATTTTTATATAAATGGTATGTCTAATAGTACGCAAATGATAATAAAAACCTATTGAATTAAGTATTTTAAAAATAAATAAATGTATAAAAAAGCTAAAATTAACAATTTCATTAATTAAATATATGGATATTAAATGTGTTATGCTTGGATGTAGTTGCTTTAGTGACTATTTATTTTCCTGGTTATCTTGGATGTAGTTGCTTTCACTTCTTACTATTACGAGACACGAAATTGGCGGATGATGTCTCGAACTGTCGTACGAAGTAGATCGATAAATCGAAGAAAAAAAATACAAGAAAAGAAAGACAATAAACAAATGGATTTCAATTGGATGGGGTTAGGACTTAGGACTTCAAATCGGCAAATCCAATGGCCACAAGAGTTATTCATGGCATGGGACATGGAATTCCCTTTTTTTTAATTATTTGACATGTAATAGTTTGTGTTTTGGGATGAATAAAATATCGGACCTCCATTTTAGCCTCGTCGATAATGGAAGGACAAAATTAGGTGAACGACGTCCAGAGTCCAATATTCCTGCTGTACAAAAAAAAAAAAAAACAGTGGAAATATCGAAGAAAAAGACTGAAAAAGGGTTATAATTTACAAATTGTAGAAAACCAAAGGAATAGATCTGTATATAATATATACACAATTATTACTATTTTATACGAGACAGTTCTGCTTGTCTTTCATGCATGCAGACAATTACAAATGTCCACTCTCTGAAACCTGCTGCGCGACGTAGATGTATTAATGTTGTTGTTGTCCGACTAAAATGCGTCTTTGGTAAAGATCCATGCCATACCATACACAAGTTGGTGTAGATCTCTTCAACGTCTCTTCTACAACAGAGAGATTGGGATTGTGGCAAACACTTTTTGGCAATTTCTTCAGTGTCGCATGGTATGGCCAGCTTCTTTACCAACGATCCGCCGGCAACACGGCGCCAAGCGTTTGGAAAACTCCATACTAGTAGTTTTTGGATGTGATTGAAAGAAACAAAGTGGTGGTTTGGATGGAGATTTCATGTGAGGGGTTTCGGCAAAGGCGCGGAGCCAGGACATAATCTAGTTCGTGTATTTATTAGGACGATAGTCATTGAAAGAAGTTACATCGTTGCTATCTAAACCTTCATTGTAAGCAATGTTCTTCTTGAAAAATATGTTTTAGTATTGAATGAGCGGAAAAATTATGAATGATTATTTAATAAGATATATTGGATTGATATGTTAGGAATGTATTCAGAGAGATCATGTCACATTCATACTCGTCCAATTTATACTACTAGATCAACACTATAACTAGTTACCTACTATAATTTAGTGCCAATTAACATATTCTCTTTCTTGTTTCTTATTTTTTAGAATATTCTCTTTTTTAAATTGCAAAATTCTCAACATACCAAAACAATAATTTAGCTATTAGAAAAAAGGACCGATGGGCTTCGCATTAGTTTCTCTTTGCAATTTAGATAGAGTGGCCAACTGACCCAAAATAAACATTAGTCAGAAGCATATACAGAAAGTGGACAGGCCCATATAGAAAGTGAAAGCCCATAAAAAATTACTTTTGTCTGAGCCCAGGTTCGAACTGGGGACCTCTCTTTGCAGTTTAGATAGAGTGACCGACTGGCCCACCAATAAAACATTAGTCAGAAGCCTATACAGAAAGTGGACTGGCCCATATAGAAAGTGAAAGCTCATAAAAAATCACTTTTGTCTAAGCCCAGGTTCGAACTGGGGACCTTTAGTGTGTGAGACTAACGTGATAACCAACTACACCACCTAGACGTTATTGCTTTTGTTAAGAATACGATTAATTCTCCTCTATTTGTTTAAATCTACTCTACTATACTTATAATACGCCGAAGGAAAAAACGGGAGCCACATTTCAAATTTCCTGCAACGAGAGTGAAAGTAGGAAGGACATTTTGGTCTTCACAATTACTTTTTTTTATTCATTAAAAAAATACATATTGGGATTCGAACCATGACAATTTTAAAGAAAGGGAAGGATCATAACCAATCACACTAAGTACATTTATTGTATCTTTTTAAATTAAAAACATATAATAGCAGGGTGGAAAAAACTCTTCCCCCATTTCAAATCCCCTGCTCCAGGAGCGGTTGTAGGAAGGGTAGAATAGTGAGTGTCAATTTTTTTCTCTTTCCTCTGTGGAACGGGCCAACTTACCGTACACATGCGGATTTAAACGGGTCCAGGAGTGTCCATTTTTTTCTTTATACCCTTTTATTTCTCCGTGGTGATAAAATATATATGAAAAGACAAAAACAATATTTTTATTGCTAAAAATAAAAAATTTAACAATAAACTAATGCATGGTATCTAATGGGCTAACCGCTAACCATAAAATAAAAGAGTTGAATGAGCCTGACCTACACGGGATTTGGCCATCAAGTAAAACAAATAAACATCATTGGTTTGACATTCTAAAACAAGCTATTTTCTCTAGCATAATATATATTAAGCTATTATTTTATATCTTAGGGGCTAAAATATAATGTATTTTTAAGTTATTCAATGGTTCAACCTCGACCAACCCAATTAGTCCAATTTTTATCATTTCAAATATATATTATATAATTATTTGATATCATAATGATCAAATTATAGTGTATTTTACAGGGAATCGTTTGGTATTTGTTAGTAAAAAAAACTAAACAGAAAGATCTATTTGGTTATTTTAAACATTAAAACGATCCTAAACATTTTCAGTTCCTTTTGAATTTCTATGGTTTTATTCCCGAATAAGTGATGTGCAAATGGCGAATTGCAGTCATATCTTTTCTTTCACTATTTTTTATTTTCAAATAGAAAGTTGAAAAGTAACGAATAATTAGAATTTGGCATGGGTCGGTCAAACAGGCTGAATTTTAAGTTTTGACCCGTTTTGATCAAGTCTAATTTATAATCACATGGTTCCCTGATACCTGATAAAAATCTCAATCCAAACCAGTTTGGCAGGTGAGTCCGTCTTTACCACCATTTTCTAGGAATACGACAACGGCGGTTCCTATCCCAAATCGTGTTGTTCGTTCTTGATTTCCTTAGATTTTATCATGGCCTGACAAAAACCAGAAAGCACAATGACGACAAGATGAAAGTTTTATAAAACAAATTAATCGGCCAACGGGCCGAGTAAAAGCTAGCAACGATTGTGAGATGCTCATTTCTCGAAAACCGACAGGATAGGCGATTTTTTATTCGATTTTCTGGAATTCGGTTTCTATAAAACTTACTCCACCTCATCATATTACCAGAAACAATATTGTTTCACAAGATAACATGTACTTGATTTTGATTCATAAGACCTATTTTTGATTCGTTACATCATTCATGTCTCTTTCCTGCTAAAATTCACTATTTTGTTCACGATTTTTCCAAAAAAAGATATACAACAATAAACTATGCACCCCATTACATTATCAAATTTCAAACACATCAGCCTCTTCTGCTTGAACCGCATATTGTGGAGGGATTAATTAGTCAATTCCATATCTGCTCTGTTCGCCTAAAAGTGCTGCCGCAATTTTTTATTTATTTGAATTCTTTGGATTTTTACAACCCCATTACTCACGTCCGCCACATTCTTTTTATTCAAATTTTTGTTATTATTTTCTGGTGGAAGTATTGGATTGTTTCCTTTCTATATTTTCAGTTCTTCTTTTTTCATTTACTTTTACCACACAAAAAAATTGATCCAAACCCGGTTCTGTAAAATTTTATCTTATCGGCGGTACAATCGAATTTTTTTATTTATAAAAAGTTGTGAATCAATTGAATCACGATTAAATTATAATTTCAAATAAAATATCCTTACTTTTTCGGTACAAACTTTCGGCACAATTTTACAATCTTTGCATAAACAAAAAAATATTTCAGGTAAATCAATATAATGTATGGAATCCAATCCTTTTTTCTAAAGAAATTGGGTCCTGGGTAGATTAGTAAGATATGGGTTTCAATAAAAATTGCATTTTCAATAGAATAAAAATACTGTATTCTCTTCTCTATAGATAATAATATACTATCTCTGTAATAAAAAAAAAATACTATCTCTTATTGAGGGAAACATAAAATTAGTTTATTGATTAAGGGAGCATACATCAGGAGATAGAAGAATTTATTTATTAACAGGTTTGGAAGCCGAGGGTTAGTTTGGAAACCATGAGGAGGATTAGCATCATTTTAATTTTCTCTTTTTTTATTAGTGAAGCTAACTTACATGCCTGGACTTAAACTTTAGCCTACATTGTTTCGTTATTAATCTTTTGTCTTGAAATTATAATTCCATTAATAATTTTGTTGCTTTATATTTTCACTAAATTATGGAGTTGCATTAATTTATATATAATTATAATTGAGTAAATAAATATTTGAATATATATATTATAATTAATTATCAGAAAATATAATTATCCGGCCGACCGGCCGGGGCCGCAATCTAGTATGAGTTTAGGGAATCAACTTCCCCAATTTGAAAACCTCTTCTCTGCAACGAAACTCATATCGGAGCTCTGAAAGGCGAGGGAGATCATCCTCCGCCTGTTAACAATTCTCTCTGCCATGGACGCACGTCACGCATCTCTTGGTCGACGAACTGTACACATCTACTCATCTTCCCACCCATTTTTCACTTCATTTTTACTTTCTCATGTGCCTGAAATTGAGTTCGTCCCTTTGCAATTTCTGCAGCTGGAAGAGATTCGACAAAAGCGAGCGGCAGAGAGATTGAGCCAAGCATCGTCTGGAACAGATCTCAGCAAGTCTCCCATCCTTGCAGGTCTCCGTAGATCTCCAAATTATGGTTTTTGCGAAGACGGCTGCACAATTCATCCCGCGGCGGCTTTCTTCTTATTACAACGTGCATTTGATTATCGTTCTTTGATTTTCCGCAGATAATGTTGGAATAAAGAAATCCGAGAGTGCCAATCGACTCTCAGAGGTGGGAATTGCGCATCATAGTTCCTTTGCTCTTTTATCTCTTTTAATGGGCGCCTTTTTGTCTGCCTTAATGGCTGTTTGGTTGCTGAGGTAGTTTACCCACGAATGCATGGTACATAAGAATTGTCTCTAAACTTGGTACAAGAGTTTTCACATCAAAAGGATTGAAATTCTATGTGCTGCTGAATTAGCCTCCCATTTGTTGTGTAAGATTAGAAGGGAATTGGAAGATCATGGTTGGCTCCTAATCGCAAATCGGACTCCTCAGGTACTGAATTTTTTTGTTAGTGTGTGCAGGCTGACGTTAGTGGTTTAGTAGCGCAGCTGCAAGAACTTCAGAAAAGGAATTCGGAGTTAGAGGAGAACAACAGGGTATTGTTTTTTAAGGTATTAGTCCAGCCGTGTAGTTTTAATTCAGTGTTTGTTACCAACGTTAGTTCTTGCATAGCTCCCATTATGTTATAATCCTGAATATTGTTGCAATGATGAATTTCCAGCTTCAATCGGAGAATACTGAGAAGGAGACATTACAAAGTCGCCTAAATGATCTGGTAAAAATCCAAACGTCTTCTCCGCATTTGCCCCATCTCACTTTATTGTTTAGAAAATCAAAGAGAAGTCCTTGTTGGTTCTGGATTAGAGAGTGAAATTCTATTTGATTCCTTGTTCTTTGCTCCAGCGTTTTATTGCTAGACAAAGCCTGGGAATGACACAGCAATTATTATTCCAGTGGTTTTCTTTAGGAGAATTTCATGCAAAATAATTTGAATTATGTAAGTGATCATTATTCTGGGATAGGGGTAGGTGAGAAATCCAATGTTAAATGTGAAACTTATTGCAAAAGAGGGGAAATCAGCCCAAGTTCCTGTTGTGTTACGCTGCTATTCAATAGAGAGCAATTGGTGCATGAAATGTTTGATGTCAAATCTTTACATCGTTTCTGACGCTTGGTCTTTTCTTATCTACTGCAGGAACAGAGTACTGTTCCATCTTTAAGGAAAGCTCTTAAGGATGTAGCAATGGAAAAAGATGCAGCGGTTGTTGCAAAGGTAAGAATACTTGACTCAAAATTTCTCTTCTATTCATTCATCTCCTTTCATGCATGATCAAAAGTGCTACTGCAGGAGGACCTTTCAGCCCAGCTTCGTACTCTGAAGAAACGGTTAAAGGATGCAGAAGAGGAACAATACAGAGTATGTGAATGCTTCTGAATCTTGACAATGATACAGAGTAATTTCACTTATTTTGTTAGCTTGTTCGGAATAGGCTGAGGAAGATGCTGCAGCGTTAAGAGCAGAGTTGAACTCAATTCAGCAGCAGGCAATGAGTAATCAGCTCAACGGTATAACTTCAATGGGTATTCCAACAGATCAATTACAAAGCTTGGAACATGAGTTGGCTACTTTGAAGTCTGATCTGCAGGTTTGAATCATCTTCAGATCCCTGCTGAATTGATCATCGCTTATCTCTAATGTGGTCCAAATTTTTCAGCGAGAGTCTTCCATGAGGCAAGTAGAGCAACAGCGGTTGCTGGAGGAGAAAGTCAAGGTCTCTGCCCTTGAGTCTGAAAAGCAGCAGCTGGAAGACAAACTTCTTTCTCTGTCACAAAGGGCACCAGGTGAACCAAGATGCTAGCCGTGAAGGCTTTTATCTTTCTCAATCAAGACTTTTCTAATATTTCTTGTTACCTGGTGTGGCTATTATTTTGCATTAATTTGCTGAATGCCGCCTCTTGTTTGTGCAATGCAGAACAAGTGTCAGAAGGAGCTGCTTATAATGTATTTTCAATGGTATGATTGCTATTTGGCTATCCATTTTGTTGTGCTATTTATTGTAGGTGAATTATATCCAACCTGTCATTTTCCAAAAAAAAAAAAAAGCAAACAAACAGTTCCAGTATTTTTAGCAACTAATTGCATTTCGAATTTGGCTTTGTTATTGAACCCGAAGGAGGATAAAGAGAGACTTGAGAAGCAGTTGCATGATATGGCTGTTGCAGTTGAGAGATTGGAAAGTAGTAGACAGAAGCTTCTGAAGGAGGTGTAGTCTCTGTTTACCTGATTTCCTTTTATTTATAGGTGTCAGTTGCAAGGACACTTACCGCCCTTAATGTTTTTCATATTTTTGCCAGATTGATTCGCAATCTTCAGAGATAGAGCAGCTCTTCGAAGACAATTCTCACCTTTCACATTCTCTTCAAGAGGCAATGAACACTGCCAACCAATGGGAGAGCCAGGTAAATTCCTCCATTGTTCTTATGCTTTTCCTTATCTTTATCGCTTGGTGCACAAACAGCATTGTTTGTCAAGGAGATCTCGATTGTCGTCGAGATTGTTTGCTATTTTTCTGTTACCATCTAGTCACTTGGTTGCTATATGTTTCTGGGATTCAAAGCAGATTTCTATGATGTTAGTCTACTTATTTAGATGTTTGTTTCTCAATGCTAACAGCTTTCCTCATGCTTGTCCAGTTAAAGGATTGTCTCAAGCAGAATAAAGAACTTCGTGTAGTGCTTGATAATTTGAGAACAGAACAGGCAGCTGTACTGTCTTCAAGTTACAAGGACGGGCAGAGAGGCTCAAGAGATGCAGAAAGAGATGGCTTAAACTCACAGGGATCTGCAACTGAAGTTCTCTCTCTCAAGGTTAGTGAGTAGTCTGTTCAGTTTCACGTTTTTGTTTTACTTCACCCTCATCTCATGATTTCCATCTTCTCCGTGATTCAGGGGGAGCTCGTAAAAGAACAAAGCAGAGCAGAAGCTTTATCGGCAGAGGTCATGCAGCTATCAGCAAAGCTCCAGCAGGCAACACAGGCATACATTGGTCTTGCCCACGCGTGAGTTTCTTCTGTTTCCACTCTCCAAGTTCTTTCCCCCACACACCTTATGATCTTTGGGTCCACTTTAGAGTCTTCCCACGGCAGATTTCCTAAAAGAAAAGAATGTATTTTTGTGCATGGGATTCGCAGCTATAGACCAGTGCTTCGGAACATTGAAAGCAGCCTCATCAAGATGAAGCAGGATGGCTCCGTGACAGCTCAATGAGAAAGCAGAGAACGCTACGATTCATTCGTTGTATATTTCAAGAATAGCTGACCAACACTGCAGGCTTTTATACCTACTAGCGCTGATGAAATGCTCGGACTTTAGGGCGAACGGCCCAGCTGGAAGAGTAGAAAGGCCATTGCCCTCATGTTTACTTTCTGCGTTTGGGTTGAGGGAAGTGATGTGGGGATACCAGATATCATTTTCAGTTACCTGGTGTACAATGGTTCTATTTTCTTCTCACAATTAATAGAAATTTACGTTTTTTCGAACATTTTGCATTTGGAGCAATTGAAAGGCAATTGAGATACTTATTAGGTAGAGAACTCGCCAACCTTGCGACTGGAAAGAAGAAATAAAGTAATCAGATGGAATGGCTATTACCATATCTTATAAGGGTGTATTATTTTCTCAAAACTGTAAGGTGTACGCGCTGATATACACGTTGCCCCGAAAAGACAGAAAACTTTCGGCATCTGTTTTGTCAAGAATGTAAGCAGAAGCAACTCAAGAGAAACAGAGTAAAGAATGATCTTGATTCTCACCAATAATCCCCACAAGAACACACCCCATCACGGAAATGGTGAAAGCGATTCACGTCTCTCACCAGAATCTCTTTACGTGCAAACTTCGATATGAACTTGGTAAAGGAGTGACAATCTTCACACAGCCGCAGGTTCTTGGTGATCCGAATTGGCTCTGCGTTGCTGGTGTTGATGAGTCCAAATGCTAGCGCTAATTTTTCGCTGTGGCCAAGCACGATCCTCTCTTTCTCCTCTTCCCCAAGGTCATATAGCACCACTTTGATCTGCGGCACATATCCTTTCTCCTTCATCTCCGACGATAATTCACACAGCAGAGCATGTAGCTGCTCGATTTGAGGATTAAACTCATCAGTCGAGACAAAGGAATGTATTTGCCTCTTTACTTCTATCCAGCTGCGACCGGGGACTTTCTGTAGTCCTCTGGATTCAAGGAGCTTTTTAACTCTTTTTACTTCGTCCCACTTACCAGCTTCTGCATAAGTGTCAGCCAGCAGCACGTAGTTCCCAGCATTTGCAGGCTCGAGTTGAAAAAGCTTTGTGCTCGCCCTCTCTGCAAACTCAACGTTACAATGAATCCTAGACGATCCAAGGAGAGATCCCCAGACCTTAGGCCCTGGTTCTATCCGCATATCATCGATGAATTTAGCTGCTTCCTCTAACTTATTGGCCCGCCCTAGAAGATCCACCATGGAAGCATAATGTTCCACACTAGGAATTATCCCATACTCTTTTCTCATCGCCTGAAACAATGCTCTTCCTTCATCCACAAGACCTGCATGGCTACAAGCTCCCAGAAGACTGACAAACGACACAGGACTTGGTGATATACCGCAACTGATCATGTCTTTGAAAATATCTATTGCTTTCTTCCCATGCCCATGAGCTCCAAACCCTGAAATCAGAGAATTCCAAGAGACGACATCTCGTTTATCCATGCCGTCAAAAACTTGTTGTGCCACTTCGAGTTTGCCGCACCTTGCGTACATTGTGACCAGTGCGCTGATTACTGGCAAGATGGTATCAAGACCATTCCTCAGAATGTATCCATGTATTAACTTTCCTTGCTCCAGGGCTGCAAGAGCAGCACAAGCTTGAAGGACGCTGACCATTGTCACAGAATTGGGACCTACATCCTCTTCTGTTTTGAGCATCATTTCCCTGAAGAGCTTCAATGCCTCGAAAGCCTTCCCATTCTTCGCATAACAAGCAATCATGGCACTCCAAGAAACCACATTTTTGACCGCCATCTGGTTGAAAACAGCACTAGCATAAGCCACGCATCCAAACTTGGCATACATATCAACCAATGTAGTCATAATATGTACAAATCCCCCATACCCATGTCGCAGAATATGAGCATGAATCTCCTTTCCCTTCCACAGCAACGATACTAAACACTCGGAAGCAACACAAGCCTTGAGGGCGTATGTATACGTGAACCTATCAGAAGGCATCCCAAGAGAACTCATCGTGCGGTACAAGTTCAAGACCTCTTCCCCATGGCCCGCCAACGAAAGCGCTCGAAACAACGCGTTGTAAACATAAATAGTTCGCTTCCGAGTTTTGTCAAACACCTTGCGTGCATCATCAATCAGGTCCAGAGACGAATACATATTGATAAGTTTCGTTGCCAAGAAGGGATCTTGATCAAACCCATTCTCATGGAGGTGGCGGTGAACCCACTGTGCATCGACGAGCGAACTTTGGTGGATGCAAGAGAGAATTAGGTGCTCGTAGGTCCGTTGAGTCGGGTTGGACTCTTCGCTCATCAGCTTCACGGCCCGCTTCAGGTTGCCTTGTTTGCATAGAGACTGTATAAGCTGGTTATTGTCAGCTGTGGTCGAGGTCGAAGGATTCAAGGATACGAAACAAACGGGCGGCTTCCGGGAGGAACGTGGGATGAAGGCTGATGAAGGAGACGGCTGAGCATTGGGTTGAGGAGAACTAAGAGCCCACATTTGGATATGGCGTCTGATTTTGAGAACCAAGCCAAGCCGCCAACAAAGGGTTGAAACAACTCTCCCCTGCGGTGGTTGAGACTTGTCAGTCCTTTCTAATCGGACCAACTGTTGGAGTAGATGAGAGATGGAATCAATGGAGCCGATGCAGATGAAGTCGGAAGTCACAGGCGGCACAAGAAGCGGCAGCCTGAAAAATAAAAATCTGCTGGAAGTGGGGACTATTGAATTAAATGTTTATTTTTTATCCAATTTTTTTCAGATTTTTTTATATTATTTAAATTTATCAAAATATTACGAATTAATCAAATGTTAATTAGTAATTTTGTTAGTAATATTGAATTGACAATATGATACTAACTTGGAATAGACACATGAAAGTCAACATTCCAAAATTTTAGTATTTTAACTAAGAAAAGAGTTACAAAATTATTAAAAATAACGTAAAAATGACTAATATTTTGATGCATTACGAAAGATTTGGCTAATTAATAATATTTTAATAGGTTTAGATAATATATAAAAGAATTTGAAAAAAGTTTGAATAAAAAAATAAACATTTGTAAATGAAACATAAAAAGCAACGTGAATAGAAGAGAGAGGAGAAAGAGAAGAGGAAGGAGAAGGGGAAGGATAGTTACTATAATACCCTTATAGTAAGTGTTAGCATGGTTAGGGTTGGAAGTAGAGCTGAAAGTTTGGTACCGGTATTTGGGATATACCGAATTTGTCTATATTTGATATTACCGAATACACGTATTATTTTGTGGGATTGGGATTGAGTTTCAATTGTTATTCGGTATTAGGGATTACGGGATTGGGATCTGTATATACCGAAATACCAATCAATACCGAAATATAAGCTAGTGTGTATTTTATCCTCTCAACTAGACTCTCTCATTCACTACTGCATGACCTTCAACCACCAAGAGTGTCATTTAATTATACATAGATCATTACATCACTATTTCACACTAGTATTAGTTGTCTCTCAAACTCAAATTCATCAAATTAAAGATTACCAATTACAAAAACTTGAGATGTTAGCTCTAGGCAACTCAAGACTCTTTGCTTAGTCTCTTTGCCCTAAATTAAACAATAAAATCTAATTTATATATTTAATTATTAATTGCAAATGTAATTAATTTAGTATTTGATAATACTGATTGGGATACCGAGGTACCGATTGGAATACCAGAATATTTAGGGATTGAGATTGGGATACCGAAATTATTTAGGGAATGAGGTTGTGATTGATTTCAGGATGTAATTCGGTATTCGGGATTTCGGTATTTGGTATTGGGATACTGATACCGTACCGATTTCCACCCCTAGTTGGAAGTTTGGTACGGGTATTTGGGATATACCGAATAACGTACCGAACTTATCACTATTTGGAATTACCGAATACCGATTTATTTTTTAGGGACAGGGATTGAGATTTATTTTGGAGTGCTATTCGGTGTTCGGGATTACGTGATTGGGATCTATATATACCGAAACACCGAGACACAACAAAAATTAAAAATTAATGAAATATAGCACACAACTTTTGGTCATTTTCCACTCTTTCGTAAATCACAAGTCCCCATCCAACTCAATTTTGGCTTTTCAATTTATGTCACTCTCATCCCTCATCTAATTTCTTATTATTTTCATAACATCAAAAAGAAAACGCAAGTATTCGTCATCTCTCACCCTTCAATTTGTTGAATTAAAGATTTTCAATGACTAGAATTTGAGTTGTCACCTCTCCTCCCTACTCCCTAATCCCTATCCATGTCCTAGCTCTAGCCAAACTCAAGAGTTTTAGCTTAGTCTCTTTGCCCTAAAATAAATAATCAAATCTAATTTATATGGTAAATTGCAAGTTTGGTCACTAAGATTATAAAAACCGTTCATGTTTGGTCACTAAAAATATATAATTCCATTCATGGTCACTAAAATTAGTTAAACATTTCAAGTTTGGTCACTCTCCGTCCATTTCCGTTAACTTTTGCTTACGTGACAGTCAACCCTCATAATTGACCGTTAATTGAGTGACGTGACAATTAAAAATTTAATAAAAAATAAAATCTAATATTTTCGAATTTCCACCTCATAATTGAAACCACTAAAAAAATAAAAAATTGAAAAATAACTCTTTTAATCCTCGCCACCACCTTTTGCCAAAAAAAAAAAAAAAATCCTCGCCACCAACCCGCCGCCGGGGGAACGTCAATCAAACAAAATTAACATTTCCCGTTCAATTCACCACTGGAAGCACCCCACCCCTCCGCAGTTGTTATCTTAGTCAACAAACTTACATTTCCTCTCTTCTTGTCTTTCTTTTCTGCATTTTTAAACCCAAATCAAAAATAAATTCAATAAATTGAGAGGAAGTTATCTCTGCATTCCCCGACGGCCACCGCTCCTTCTTCACCACCTTCTTTCCTCTACTGCCCGCCGACATGGAGCCTTACTCCGGCAGCCGGCTGCCTCTTCCTCGTCGTCCGAGATGTTCGCGGAGGAGCTTATCTGGCAGCTGTTGACCCTCACCACCATTGGAAGCACCCCGCCGCCGGAGGAATGCCAATCAAACAACTTCCTTCTTCCCAGGGGCGGAGTTATGTTCAAGGTAGGGTGGGCCTCGGCCCCCCCCCCGGATTGGTCTCGGCCCTAGGATATTAAGGATATTTTGTACAAATTTTATATGTATTACTTGTTCTGTAAAATCTATTATGTGATAGATGTATAGTCTAATGGAAGTCAACCTTGACTTTTGTTTTCAAGGACATGAGTTCGATCCACAAGATCACATTTGTCTTTTTCATTTTTTTACCAACTTTTAACCTTCATTATTTACTCCCCTTCTACAATTCCCCAAACAAAACCGTCATTTTTATTTTTCTTTACCAACTTTTTAATCTTCATTAATTTACTCCCCCTCTATAATTCCCCAAACAAAACCGAAACTCCCCATTTATTGTGAGAGAGTATCAATAAAAGGCCACCTCTTTTTAATTAGTTTAATTAATTTTAAGTCTCAATTTTCATTATCATTTCCAATTTCAAACGGAAAAATGACAGCCAAAAGTTTTAGTTTATATTTGAGTGATTTCAATGATCAAAGAACGTCTTATACTTCTAAAATAATTATAAATTTTTTATTAATTAATTATTTTCGGCCCCCCGGTTTCGAAATCCTGGCTCCGCCCCTGCTTCTTCCGGCTCTTGACCTTTCATCGATGGGGAGAGTATTGGGTTCTGTGGAGTCACCGAAGGCGGCAGATGTAGAGCAGCGAGAGAGCGGGGCGGCTTGCTTATCGATGTTTGGGTGAACGAGAGATTTGCCGGTGTCGGGTCCTAGGCCGATCCCTGTGGTGTTTTTAGGGTTTCAGAATCGGGAGGGGGAAGAGCAACAAGAGGCTCGTCGGAGCTCATGGTTGGAGAGAGTGATAGAGGAGGAAGAAGAAGGATTTGGTACAAGGGCAGAGGTGGCGGCGCCGATGAAAATAGAGAGAGCGGCGGGGAGTGGAGCGTTAAGGCTGATTGGAATAATCTGGCGGAGTCAATCGCTACCTCAATCGGAATCCTCGCTCGCCGTCTCGGCGGCCGAAATTTCGAAATTCCCCTCTCCTCCACAATCGCTCCCACCGGAATGGCGGAATCCCGGCTCCTTACATAGTTTTTTTTTTGGCAAAGGTAGTATGTATTAGATAGGGAATTACAGATTGTTAAAAAATAAATAGCGGAAATCAGCCAAACGCTGATTAGCCGATGCAAGAGCTGTTTTCGCCACGCAATGGGCAGCCCTGTTAGTTCTACGAGGAGAAAATACAAAACGAATAAACGCGAAGGATTCTTTCATCTGCCGGACTTCTTCCAGTATCGCTCCCCCACGATTGTGGTCTTGTCGCGCCTCCGCAGCTCGCCGAATCACCGTTTGGGAGTCCCCACAGAAACAAACAGAGGAAATTCCCCGAGTTAAGCACCAGTCCATTGCATCCCGTAATGCTAACAGTTCCATAATAAATGGATCAAATAAACCAGAGTAGTACTTACCGTGCGCAAACGAAATCACCCCGGCTGATGCGAACCCCACGAATCCTACGCTGCCACCGACCTCCTGCCGTGTAGCTCCATCAAATCTAACCAGGAAACCGCCTGGTGGGCAATATGGTTCGAGCTGCTGATGATTTTGCCTCGGCTGACTGGGCAACGCACTTGCTGGGGACGTGTTTGCTGCTGTCCATTCCTCTCTTTGGTGCTGAAATTGCCGAAACAGAGGCCCGGGAAGATACTGGGTGTGGTCATAGCAGGACCAACAGCGTGCTTTCCATATCCGCCATGTTAGGAACACGATTTCCGCCATTTCTAATTTACTGAGGTGTCTAGAGGTTAACACTTGTACCCAGGCCTCGTGGTTAGGTACCTCTGCTAGCTCCTCCCTAAGCTGCGCTTTCCCCGCCAACTCCCAGACTCCACGCGCGATCCTGCAATCAAAAAGACAATGGGAAATCGATTCCATCCCATCCGAGCACACCGGACACAAAGCAGATTCGCAGAGCTTCTTTGTGTGCAGCACGGATTGGCACGGCAGGAAGCCCCTGACTACTCGCCACAAGAATACACGCAATTTTGGAGGGACAGGTAAACTCCAAAGAATTTTCCAGAACCTGTTATCCAACGAAGGAGGAAGAGTGTTAAATAAATCAGCACGTTCATCCGATAACAAATGGTACCCTGATTTGACAGTATACTGGCCGGATTCCGAGTAGTGCCAAATAAGGCGGTCCGGCTTGGGAGATAAGGGAATCGGAATTGCCAAAATCCATTTAATGCTGTCAGGGGTGAAAAGGGCTTGAAGGAGGTCCTGGTTCCATGCTCTCGTCAACGGATTAATGAGGCACGCAACAAAGGGGTTAGGAAGCGAAATACCTGGAAGCAGGGAAGGGGAAGATGGGGGAGTAGTGGGCAGCCATAAGTCATCCAGAATCCTGATGGCTGTTCCGCAACCTACCTGCCACCGTAGTCCTTTGAGTAGCAATCGTCTCCCTTTGAGGACCCCTTGCCATGCATTGGATGGGCGGTTTCCTGTTGGGGCTCGAAGGAACTCACAAGTGGAGTGGTAGCGTGCTTTGTACAATTGGGCCAGTGTTGATGATGGAGATTGCAACAACTTCCAAGCTTGTTTCGCGAGCATCGCTACATTGAAGAGGTCGAAGTCCCTGAAGCCCAGGCCCCCTCGAAATTTACTAACACAGACAGCCGCCCATGAAATCCAGTGCATCCCTCTGTCTTTGTCCTGACTAGCCCACCAAAACCTCGAGAGCTGACTATTCATCCGACGACAAGTGGTGGCGGGGAGTCGAAACGAGAGCATCGCGTACACTGGGATGGCAGAGCCAACTGCCTTGATGACCACCTCTTTCCCTGCTAAGGACAATGCCTTGGATTTCCAATTCTGAATGCGTTGAGCCAATCCATCCTCGAGGAATCTAAAGGTCTATACCTTGGAGCGATGAATCTATGCCGGCAGTCCCAGGTAGCGGTCCAGTTCTCCAATCGAATCAACCCCCAAGACAGCAGCTAGCTCCGAAGCTTCTTGTGCTGTCACATTTGCACTAAAGCACACCTTTGATTTCTGAAGGTTAATCTTCTGTCCGCTGGCCGTCTCATAGAGGTTCAAGAGCTGCAAAAGTTGCGAGCATTCCGTAGAGGAGGCTCGCAGGAAGAGGTAGGTGTCGTCAGCAAATAACAAATGAGAGGTTAGCGGAGCCAGTCTATGGATTTTCAGCCCATGTAAATGGTGATCAGCAATGGCATTCGAGATCAAGGTACAAAAAGCTTCAGTATAGAGAGCAAAAAGAAGGGGAGATAGGGGATCACCTTGTCGGATGCCCCGTTCCGGGCGGAAATAGCCATGTGTGTGTCCATTCAGCTATACAGAGAAAGACACAGTGGTTACACAAGCCTTTATTAGCTTTATCCATCTAGCATCAAATCCTAACGCCTCCATGACACCAAATAAGAATCCCCATTCGACGCGGTCATACGCCTTCTCCATGTCTAGTTTTAGGGCCATCCACTTATCTCTACCTTGATTCTTTGTCTTAAGAAAGTGCATGACCTCCTGAGCAATAAGAATGTTATCCGAAATGTCTCTGCCTTTAACAAAGCCATTTTGGGCAGCACTCACTACTGACGGAAGTACCTGGCTCAGACGATTAGACAAAACCTTAGAAATAACCTTATAAAAGACCTGGCAAAGTCCTATGGGTCTCATCTGTTTCATCGAGTCGGCATTAGGGACCTTTGGTATCAGAGTAAGCAGTGTATGGTTAAAGTTATGCAGCAGTCTACCCGATCTAAAAAAGGAACTAGCAGCTACACAAACAGATTTACCGACAATGTCCCAATAGGCCTGGTAGAATGCAGCTGTGAGTCCGTCCGATCCTGGAGCTTGGGTGGGGCCGATAGCGAATGTAGCTTGCTTAATCTCCTCATGGGTTACTTGACTAGTAAGGAATGTATTCTGCCTAGCAGTTACTTTGCAAGCAATCCCCAATAGGGCTGGCTATTTGGACCGGGACCGGAAGAAAAACCGGAAACCGGACCGTATAACCCGGACCGAGACCGGACCGGGATCGGATAGTAAACAATCCAATCCAATCTTTGGGCTTAGATTTGAGGTAAAAAACCGGATAAAGACCGGATAAGAGAGCTCAACACCCAAAACTTAAGGGTAATTTGCATAAACGGTCACAAACCTTAGCACTTAGTACAAAACTTAACCAACTCCTCACCCTTTTAGACCTTAGGCCACTCAAATTCCCACAATCTCAATATAAAATCAAGACCGAATTGGGACCGGACCGGGTCAAGACCGGACCGGATCAAGACCGGACTGTATCCAATCCAATCTTCGGTCCTTATATTTTCAAAAAAACCGGACTGGACCGGATCAATTTGGGCCAATTTAACCGGACCGGACCGTATAGCCACCCCTAATCCCCAATGCATTCACAAGGAAGTGGAAAGGATTTCCATTAGTGCTAAATAGGAGTTTAAAGAAAGAAACAGACACTTCACCTTTTGCCGGCTCTTCAATGTGTACAAATCCATCGTCGTCCCGAAGCAACTCGATTTGGTTCTGCCTTCTCCTCTGGTTTGTAGTGATGTGGAAAAACTTTGAGTTGGCATCGCCCTCCTGGAGCCACCCATTCCTGGATTTCTGCTTCCAAAATATCTCTTCTTGTCTGTATGCCACTGCTAGTTGAGCTTCGAGCCCTTGAATGGTGGACCAATCAATCTGCATACGGTCCCGTTCCACCTCTATGGCTAATCGAAGCTCTCGGATCATTCTGGCAGAGTTCGTTGTCCCCTGCCTTGCCCACTCTACGAACTTATGGCGGGCAGCTTTCTGGAAGGAGAATAGTTGAAATTGCGGCGTCCCCGGAACTGGATTTTGCCACGAGAGGGTGACTAAGTTCCTTGCCTCCTCATTCGAACACCATCTCCTGTCAAAGTGGAATCTGCCTTTTCCTTTTCCTGCACCAGGGGTCAGTTGAAGCAAAAGCATCCTGTGATCAGAACCAAGATCTGTTAAATGGGAAACTTGAATATTAGGCCAATCCTGGATAAGCAGATCAGACCCTAGACCTCGATCTAATCGTTCAAGGATATGGGTGGCGAGCCCTTGTCGATTAGACCAAGTGAACGGGGGGCCTACAAATCCTAAGTCTTGGAGACCTGCAGAGATAATGAAACACTGAAATTGTTCAACCATGGAGAAGGAAGGAGGGCGGCCTCCCTGCTTCTCCGAGGCAAATAGGACACAATTAAAGTCGCCTAACACTAAGACATGGGAGACACTCAACGAGATCAAACGGAGCAGTTCATTGAATTGGGAAGCACGAATATGCACAATGGAACTAAGATGCACAAAGAACAAAGCTAAATTCCCCCATACTATATGCTGTAGCTCCGCAAGGATATAGAACGCATCCTTATCTACCACTGAACATTGAACAGCAGGGGCACAAGCTAGAGCTAACCCCCCCGATAACCCTACTGGAGACACGCAACATACTACATTATATCCTAATCGATTCAGTTTTTTATTTACATAATCATCCTCTCTCTTCGTTTCACTCAAGCAAAGGATTGAAGGAGAAAAGCGGCACACAGCTCCAAACAGAGATGGAATCGTCAGGGCGGAACCTAACCCTCGACAATTCCATGCGATGATACTCATCTGGCCTCATGGGACCAGTTAGGGCTGGTTGCCTCCACCACTTCGTTGTTTTCTGCAGCAATCAAGGAGGGAGCCTCTTCAAGTCTCTGTTTCTTCCACTCCGGTCCATCGATCATCAAGTCTCGGTCCCCCAGTCGACCTTGAGCAGGGATTGGGGTTGTATGGCCTCCTTCAGATGGGGCTGCTGCCGGAGAGCAAGGCTCAGGGAACCGGGCTGGTGCTGGGAGCATCAGCTGAGCACTCTGTCGACCCTGCGAGGGTGATGGGGCCAGTTCAGGTCGCACCCAGATGAAGCTCCGACGGCCTAGCAGACTCCGTTCGTTCACTTTGGGACCAGATTTCTTGGAGATCAGATGCCTGCCGTACGGGGATGGTTTGCCTGCAAGTTCATCCCGGCGAGAGCACTGCTGTCCAATGTGGCCAAGCACTCCACACAAATAGCAAAATTGTGAGAGTTTTTCGAATTTCCCAGCAGCAGTAAATTCCCCTACCTGACTTTTCATGGGACGCCGGGACTGAGACCGGGAGAGGGAGACGGGAATCCAGCCACACCCGAGCTCGCAGATAGATCTCCGCCGTTTCCTTCGCGACGGACCAATCACCATCCCTAGCAGAGACCTTTCGTTTCGCTCAACCCCTGGAGCAACATCAGCATCACCGAAAACTACAACCCTAGCCTCTGCCATCGCGAATAGATCTCGATTGAAATGGGAGCTTGGAAAGGAGAACCACGCAGCAGAAGGAAGAGTACTGCAAATCAATGCCATGGGGAGGGGATTAAATAGGCCCATGGAGCCCCTGTCTTCCCCGTCGGCGCACTACGCCGGGGACTCGCACTCAGCGATGCGCACGACGGCGCTAACCACGCTCCCACTCTCCTCAACCGACCGCGCGCAGAGAGAGGGGAGAGGTTTTTTTTTTTTAAACAATTATTTTTCATTATTTTTAATTTTTTTATGGTTGCAATAATGAGGTGGAAATTCGAAAATATTAGATTTTATTTTTTTATTAATTTTTTAATTGCCATGTCACTCAGTTAACGGTCAACTATGAGGGTTGACTGCCAGGTAAGCAAAAGTTAACGGAAATGGACGGAGAGTGACCAAACTTGAAATGTTTAACTAATTTTAGTGACCATGAATGGGATTATATATTTTTAGTGACCAAACATGAACGATTTTTATAATCTTAGTGACCAAACTTGCAATTTACCCCTAATTTATATATTTAACTATTAATTGCAAAGGTAATTAATCTTTTACTCGATAACCGATTGGGATACCGAAATATCGATTGGAATACCGAAATATTTAGGGATTGGGATTGTGATTGTGATTGATATTCAGGGATAATTTGATATTCAAGATTTCAGTATTGGTATTGATATTGGGATACCGATAACATACCGATTTCCACCCCTAAGTATGGTGCTAACTGCCAACACTTAAGAGTGTTAGCACCCTATCCACTCCCCAAATACTCGCTCAAGTTGTTCGTGATTAATTAAATTGCTAAAAAAAATGTCATGCAATGACAGTTTTGTAAACTTTTGAAGAGTAAATAGACACAGATATTTACTGGACTACACAAAAGACCGGAATAAACTAATTTCCTCTAGATGACCTTCAGTATCAAGTTCGAGTACGAAGCCTTGTTTGACAGAAAATATTAGATGACTACAAAAACCACAACAAAAATTACTTAAGATACAATTTCAAAGGTACCGATATAAAATAAATCAATCACTCAGGTACGTAACACTTTGAATAATTGTTGTCGCAGCTCAAAGATTCAACATCATCTTCATATTATGGTAACAAAGATACAAAGAGAGATTAAGCGTCCAATTGTGCAGCTCAAACTAATCCATAGTAGCCATAGCCAACAACTTGACCCCAGTAGATAATCTAGAATCTTAAAAATAACTCTCAAGAACCATCCAACATGGACAAAGCCTTTCTGATGGTTGTCTTAGGTGAGTAAAACACACTTTTTTTTTTTTTTGGTAAAAGAGAAACACTTCAATACATAGATACAGTCCATTCCCTACAAGCACATAGCAGAACTTCTTGCTGCGGAATAAATTACAGAGCTTGCTTGACAAAAAGAAGTACAGGTAGGTGCCGCCATGCTCGATGGTCCGCATCAGAAGCTTGGCCATCATACACCTATAAGAAACACGGTGTACATCTAATACTTCCACCTCCCAGCTTCGCCTACGTGGTTGTGGGATCGTTGATCACGCCCAAGAAGTCATCCTTTATCGTACCAATGCAGAACTGTTGATGCAACAGAGATTTCATTAGTAAACCTCCCGAGTTCATGAACATTAGGGTAGACCCAAGATACATATCAAGGAGAAACACGTTTCTCTGATTGAGATAGCTATAGCATATTTGATAGGCATTGTTGTTTAGAGATTCAAGCTCTTGGCGAGTGGTTAATTTCTTAATTTATGTGCAAATCAATTCAATTCAATGACATTCACATTTACTTCAAAGAACACTGTCAGCTGAAGGACTCCCTCATTCCCGATATATGGATAAACCAGTGACATGCGCATTAGGCACAAATTCAGGGGGTCTAACAGAAAGGAGGATTCAAGATCATACGATTTCTGTAGCATCAACACGAGTCCCGATAATCTTCAAACGCACTTCACTATCCTTCTGGATCTTAACCTGGAAAATGAGCAACAGTAAATGACAAGAAATTAGAGAAGTAGAGAATATTATATGCATTCATTATTGTTAGCAAGTAGATCACAGAAAGCCAACCGATCCATCAGAAGTTGTATAGTTCGGCATATCTCCAGACTGAAACTCCATGTCATCAGGTATCAACTACAGAACCAAAAGAAAATATTAGCACCAAGTTGCATATAGTAGATACATACTACAAGGGTTACTCATTCTTCGCTCATCAAGTTTCTTAGACAAAATTTAACAAGATATCCTACAAACACAGATACATGAAGCTTAAAAAGTTTAAAACAACAAAGTTCAAGTTCCAAGTTCAGGAAACAGCTCAAGTATATATGCCAAGGTTAAAGAAGGCTACAATGGGAAGTATCAAATTTCTTCAATTTTAACAATCATGCTCTAACCTCCAGTTCCCACGTAAAAGGAAGGCCAACAACAGGAAAATATCAAATGTCTTCAATAACAACATATCACAGTCAATCAACTTATACAACTTACATGGTTCGAAACAAAGATCTGCACTGGACCAGCTTCAGCGAAAAATCCCATCTACAAGGTATTATATTAAAGAATGTAAGATCACCACACTCCAAAAGTAAGATCCATGAAAGATTAACTGAACCACTTCCATACGAGAGACAACCATTCTACCTTGTTTACCATGGTGACAACAGCTTCTAAGATCTCGCCCTTAAATGGTCTGAACACAACACACTGGTACTTTACTGGAAAAGTCACGAAACCTGTACCGTCTCTGATCAAACCTTTCCCAACGTTTTCTATGCCTGTTATTGCTACAACGAACCCATGTTTACCACTGCAGTAGTACAAAACAGTTTATAACAGAGAAATATATTAGAACCGTTTAAACAAGCCAGGTGTTCCAAGTAACTGAAACCAAGTTGAAATGGACGTTTTGCATTCACAGCCACGAGAACATAGCATAGAATCTGACACTTAACAAGAAATAAAAGCATCTATGTGACTGCAGTGCTAATATCAAGAATATGAGACATGAGCTACTCGCTCCTAATATCAATTCCTTCCCCTCATTTAATCACATGTTAAATGGAAGCAAAATTCATCTGAAGGTGAAGGCAACCTAATTGTTCGAAATTCTATGACGAAAAAAAGGAGATCTAACATAGCAGCGTAGTCACTGAAGATCCATAACCAGAGTGATCAGAACCACTAGTATGTTCAAGGCAAGGAGCTCTATTAGACTGGTATCAGAAGTAACGCGATCTAAGATAAAAAAAAAAAGACTCTTCATTTAAGTCTGCTCTTCCCTGCTACAGATATATACAGATAAAACCCAGAAACCCTGCCCCTTAAGGTTCGTCAAAACTTTTGCCCTAAACTTCCAGGGAGTCCTCAATTTCTGCCCTGCCTACTTCATAGTGAAGTTACAGTAATTCCGACCCTAAAAATCATCGAACTACCATCGCAACTATACGAATCGTCCGAAATGTATTATCTTTTAAGCCTATCTCGACGAGAGGCCAGAAAAAGTATTCTCAAAACCTAAGTCACTGCTCGTGGTACAATATTTTCTTCACAACCAAACGGAATCCCAGCAAAATCGAGCGGAAAAAAGGAGAAGCGCGATCAGAAATGCTAGGAACTCAAAATCGGAAATCACGATAAGGGAATGAATGGAAAGGAAACCTGCAAGTCCCCTCAACATCTTTCATGAGCTTTGAAACGAGGTTATCTCGTAGGTTGCGACCGAAATAGCGAGGATGCAACTGCATGTTCCTCTCCAATACGATGTGGAAGAACATTGTTGCGCTCGAACCTGTCTCCGAATAACCCACGTAGAATTCAGCGGCCCTTTGTTCAGATTGTAAGAAGAAGAAACAGAAACGGCCAAGTTTGTGTCTTTCTAATTTTTATGGTTGCTGCTTCCGGAATCGAAAGGGAAAGGGAAAAGGAGAAGAGGGTGGAAAGCGGAAAGCAAAGAGCAGGGAAGAATTGGGGAAGCCGCGTCTAAACCGATAATTGGGCCGTGCACCTGGCCCTTTAAGTTCTGGACACCCGGCCCATTTCTTTAAGTGGAATTAACGTAGGTTTTTTTAGACGTGGGTTGTTTGTTAGTTGGACTTGAAAATGAACATCTATATTGAAAGATTTAAGATGCATTTGAATTATAATATGGCCTATAAATTTCACTTACCAGTTTGCATTTGAAAATGACTTGGAATTAGTTTAAACCAGTGTGATTAAAATCGGGTCGAACTGATCGGTCTGATGGATAAAACTTATGATCAATCACAAGTTTAGTTTGAATGGTTAAACACTTAGATTGAGTGCACCGACTAGCCGGGCCAAGCTCTCAATCGAACAAATTGGAAGGGGGAAAATCAATGAAACCCCACTTGAAAATTGGCGGTGATGATTTGGGGAAAGAAGTCAAGAACAATAGGGGTCAGTTCAGGAAAGACGACGGTGTGGCTGTGAAGGACAAAGTGTCAACAGACGACGATATTGATTCAAGAGAAGAAGGATAGATGAAAAGTATTTGGTCGTCGCTACCACTTTGAAACTCGTCCTCCATCTCGTCTGAAAACATAAAAGAAAAGAGAGAGAGAGAGAGAGAGAGAGAGAGAGAGAGAGAGAGAGAGAGAGAGAGAGAGAGAGAGAGTTGGTTGGAGGCAGTCCATTTTGTCGGAGAAGGAAGCAACTTGAAATGCTCGCCAAGAAATAGTAAAAGGACCAAAAATATTGTTTGGAGGTGAAGAGAGGGAGGGACGAGGTTGGATTCAATTTTGGAAGGGATTTGGAGGCATCTAAGGAGTCGTTTGGAGAAAAGGATTTCGACGATAGATTTACTGAATTCGCGGATTTTGTAGGAAGTTAATTTTTTTTTTGTTGCTTTTTTTGTGGATTTTGGCTTTAGAGATTTGATATTATATATCTTGATTCGTGAGATCTTTCCTTCTACTTAATCCTTTTTCTTTTTTTTATTTATTTATCCCACTAAATATGCGTATATATAAATTCTCAATATATCTCGAACCATTTAATTATTTTATTATGGATAAAAATTAGAATTTGTATTTTCATTTAATGTTAACAATCACAATTAACCAACAATAAACATTTTAACTATTTTTTAAAAGACCTGAATAGTTAAACATCTTTGAATTATTTATAATCTATAAATTTAGACTCATGTTCTCAAAACGACCTCTAAATCGTGGTTGGCTATGCTTTAGAAAGACGAGGTGGTTGATTGTGAACTATTTTTTCCTCTAAAGTGCATTTGACCTCTAAACTTGGGCTTAGAATAGATGAATAATCTAGGTTGTATAACCTTGCACAACAAGATCTAGACTCTCGATTTTAAGTGGGGACAGTTGATAATAGATATTTTTTTAAATTTCTTAATCGGCTTTTATCTTCTTCGTTATAACTTGGATTTCAAAAGTTTTTGCACAGATGGAACGAGTTCGTTTTAATCTACAAAATAAGATCATTTTTCAATATATTTTGAGAAAAAAATTATACACTCGTTACCACTTGATACCAGCTTCATTTTTAACTCGAATTTTGAAAATTTTGCCTAGAAGGAATGAATTCATCATAATCAATTGGATCTATTAATTTTTGTGGGTGAAATTTGCAAGAGAAAATATACCACCCTGGTATAGGGTGGTAACTGGTGGTAGATAATGATGAAATGTGGTAAATAACAACTAATATATTTCTACTACCATGTATAAAACCATTCTACACTGTGGTATATTCATACCACCTTGGTACACTTTCATACCATCAGGGCCGTCTAATGGATAGTGGTGGCCTTGTTCCAAAATTGAGATGCGGTTTAAATTGACTTTGAAGTATAAAGAAATTAAAATGTTTATATTATCGTTATGTGAAATGTAATATATTTCTAACATTATTTTAAATAGAATTATCTATTGCCTCGTTACGTATGGTGCTTTCTATAGTCTTGTTAATGATGAATGGTGCTTTCAAGATGAGATGGAAAAAAGAGTTGTTGAGGCTCGGGCTAAAGGTGAAGAACCCAATCATTGGGACATATATCGTTAGGTTGTTGGGGAGCCACGCAAAGGTCGAGTACTTGAGATTAGGGCTGGGAAATGGTGTGGTCTGGTCCAGACCAAACCATATAGACGGTCTACGGTCCAGACCGAAAGACTAAAGTATAGACCATAGATCAGACCACATACTATACAGTCCATACCAGACCATGCCTGTGCGGTCTGGTCTGGTACGGTCTGGTCCAGATAGACCACATTGAATGAAAAATGAACACTTTGTTAAGTCAACCACACTAAAATTGAAGCAATAACTAAGAAAAAAAATTATTTTTTGCCTTGAAAAATAAAATCCAACATGCCTGAACAATTTTGGCACCATATATCTTAGTAAATAACAAAGATATAAAGTCAAAGAATCTCAACTCATAGCATAATGTCACAAACATTAACATAATGTCATATGGAGACACGATCATCTCTACTCTCTAGTGAAATATGGTTGTGAATGAAGGAGGAGACGAGATTCTCAAAATTAAGTGGTCGAGTGGGCTGCTAACATGTATTGGAAAGCCGGCTAGATCCACAGTTTGGTCAGGTAAACAGCGGTCCAGACCAAACCAGACCAAGAGATCAAAACTTCATATAATACAGACCATGGACCAGACCATTCTTCACGGTCGAGTGGGCCGGACCAAACTATGCGATTCGGCTTGGTCCACAGTTTTTTTAAATGGTCTGGTTTATTTTCCCAACCCTACTTGAGATGGTTTTGGGAGTCACAACAACAGATGTTTATGGCTATTTGATCACTTCGATCCGTGTAGATTATAATCAATGGTTAGCACATGTCAACAACTACCCCATCTTAAGCCAAGTTTAACCTAAGACGACATTGTTGTATAGTGGAATCAAGGTCGTATTTTACTCGGGTCCTGGTACCCTAGCCGACTTCCCACCTAGTTACTAATTAGTTAATCGGTTTTTGAGCTTTGAGTGGAGGATTTGACAAGATAACTAGACTAGAGATTGATCAAAGCTAAAAGCAGGTACTTCGGGGAACTAACCCCCCTAGCTTAGGGTTACTATGCATGTAAGATACTCAGGGTTATCGAATGTGGTGAGTGAACTCTTTTCTGTGGTCTTTCGTGGTTATCCACACGCCTCTGAGTACGCCTCCCCTAAACTCCATACCCAACGCGGAAGCACAAAGTAGGCTAATATATAAGATTGGGGCGCCCTACCACAAACACAATCCATGATAGAATAGCAATTAAATCAACTAAATAAACACATTCTTTCATTCAAACCCTAAAATATCCATACATACATAATAAATCCTTAAAACTAGGGTTTGGGGTTTAGAACCCCTAGTACCTTAGAGGACTAGTCCATGACGTAGGGAAGAAGATACATAGAAGAAATTGAAGAAGACTTGTGTTGAGGAAGATGCTCCCTCTCTTCTAGCTCCTTCTCATTCCTTCTCCTTCCTTCAGCTTCTCTCTCTTCTCTCTCTCTAAAATCAGAAATTTCTCTCAAAATCAGCTCATCTAAAAGGGGGAAAGGGGTCTTCTATTTATAGGCCTTCTGGGGACGGAGAAGTTCCCGGCCAGAGGCGATGAGATCTCAAGCGGGATCTTCTAAGAGAGGCTGTGATCTCAAAACGCTGTCGTCATGGCCTTCTGAAAGGGGAAGATCGCGGGCTGACTTCACGGTCGCGATCCACTTGTCACGGCCGCGATCTTCCTCGCGGGCAAACTGTGCTTTGGCTGTGACTTGACTTGGGAAACTTTCCGTTTCTCCATGGCTCCTTCCTCGCGAAGTTCGCGCCCTCAGCCCTCCAATTCACGATCGCGATCTTGGGGATTCCAGGATGCGATCTTTAGCTTGACTTCGTGGGCTGTGTTCTCGGCCGTGATCTTCATCTTCCTGGCCACGATCTTTAGCTTCCTGCCCATTAGCTACACTTGTGACCTTGTTTTGTACCTAATTCGCATGTATCATCTAATACACCCTAAAATCACATTGAATTCAAATAGAAACGGAATAGGGATGCAATTGACGATGTTTAAGCATTTATGCACATGAATTGGCACGAAACAAACCTTAATATGAAGGATAAATAACACCAATTTAGGTGTTACACGATTCCTCAACAGATGGTTGTAGTAAACGCTGTCAAGAAGATAGCTTAAAGGAGAAAGAAAAGAGTGATGCAGTCATCAAAGAATTGCAAGAACAAATAGTATCGCTGGAATTCAGTTCCTCAGCTTGTTCAAGCTGCCTTGACTCAATTTGGTATAATGGTATGAAACATGTTACAATTCGTACTATTTTTACCTATAGAATTTTGTCTTAATCTTATTGTTGTTAATGTTTAATAGGTTAACAAGACCAACCAAAATGGAGACATAAGTGACGGAGACAGCAGTGATGAAGAAGAAGGAGAAGAAAAAGAAGGAGAAGATGAAAATTTAGAATACGACTTAGATAATCAAGATTGATATTATTATTTTTTTGGACTAGTTTTCATATTCATGGATTTCATATTTCTCTATTTTATGTTTATCAAATATTGGTCATTTTGAATATTATTACTTATAACATTTGGAATATTTAATTTTTTAGATTACATGGTTTTGTCAATATAATCTCTTTGTTGTAAATCTACATATTTCTAACAACCACATTTTTTCAAAATAATTAATCTAGTGAAAGAAACATATCGTTGCTAATAGTATAGTATCTTTTCATCAAACTAATTAAATTAGTAACGACTACATATCATCGCGAACAATATTTTTTTGACAAACTGCTTATTTTTGTGACGGCTACATATCATCGCGAACTATATTTTTTTGTCAAACCAAATGATTTAGTGACAACTACATATCATCACTAATAGTATTTTTTTTCGTCAAGATTTAGCAACGTCACAAATATTGGAATCCTTATTTGTGATATCTCTCGTTCGTCGTAAATATAATAT